GGAAGGCAGTACGTATATCCAGGAAGACAACGCTCATTGGCTTTCGGTACTTATACTGGAGCTCGAGGATCTGACGGAGTGTGAAAATTTGATCGATGCAGCCGCGACCATAGCGGAACCCAGCCTGTATAACCTGCGAGTTAGGGATATCCTTCGAAGTATGCTGGGCACCAAAACTTTGCAAACGACCAGAACCAAGCTAATAGCCCTGTAGTTGGAGCACATTGTGCACACCCTTTTTGAAGATGGGAACGACTATAAACTCACCCCGGGATGATTGAACTTCCTATTCCAACCAGACTTCTGAGAACAAAGCAGTGAGTTCTCGAATCAGCGAAGTGCCATCATCTTTAAATACAGTGGGAGGTAAGCCATCTGAGCCAGGTGCTTTAGGGCGCTGCAAAAGGCCTTAGATTGACTTCGATGGGGAGTGTATATCAAAAGGTTTCCTGCTTAGGTACAAGAGAAAGCACCGTTAAATACAGAAGAGAGACACCAGGTACGGAAACGACAGGCACCGGTGTAGTCTAGCCCATGGAGGTCAAGCGCGTGATGTTGTAGCACATGTGATCGCTAGTTCCTCAGTCAGGCCGGTCTAGTAAGCCACCAGCGTGACCACGCGGGGCCAACCTCAACAAAGCGTAGAGTCCGTTGCATATGTAAGCATCCTCAGTGCAGCGCTTGGTAAGTTCGCTGCTTCCGATCCCATATGCTAACCGAAACTTACCATGTAGTCGGTGTGGAACGTGTGCTGCATGATCGCTACATTTGGTCCGCACGTGTGCCTGCCTGTTGATTTTCTTGAATTTTATTCGTTGATTGTTGATTTATCTCCCTACCTGCATGTCAAAAAACTGGTAGATCGATTATACGAGCTCCAAGTAATAGTTGGTCGTTCCTTAGGGAGATGGGGTGCGCGGTCCTCGTGACTATGCTAAACCCAAAGAATGGTTCCATCCAGTGCGGAGTGGACTGCGGCCCAGCCAACGCCTTGCTTACTTCTGGTCCGCATAGATACGGATGTTGCTGCTGTGCTCCGATGATGAAACGTGGCTCGCATTTACATGCCTCCCGGTTCTATAACTTCGGGTTTTACACTAGATTTATGGTGTGTGGGTGGTACATCGCAAGCCACTCTTGGTCTCTGTAGGCGTAGGCCTCCTGTTACAGTCTTGAGGGAGCCCGCATTGACAAGCATATCCGGAATCAAAGTCAATCATAGTGAACATATCTTTTCGATAATTCTTCATCAGGCTAGTACAATTATATACCAATTACATCAATTAGACAGACTACTGAGTCGTTAAAACGAGGTAAAATCAGTTTACATGTAGCCAACTACCGCCAATAATCAGGTCAATTTCGGAGTCTTCACACGATCCAACTGAGTAAAAATCACTACTCGATCGAACCAGGGCAGTTGTAAGGCCTGAACAAATCGCTTCTGAGTGCACCAGTTTGCTTCGTACAACCAGATTGCCATAGTTTCAGCCGCTTCTAGTATCCGTCTGCGCATATACCTCGATCGATTATCCGGGGCCTTGTAGATAATTTGGAGTGCTTCGGCTGACCTAGGGTTGTGGTCTGTGTCGGCAAGATGGGCAGCTATGGCTGAGTTACATACCCTTCTGCATCCTGTCGCTAGCCGGACGGTGTTCTTTCATTCTCTCGAATAGACATCTAGTCGTGCGACCAATGAATCCTGAACCACAGGAACAGGTAAATGAATAAATGCACTGACTTGTCGTGGACAGCTCAACTATCCTTGAGACTAAGCTTCACCATCAGTGTGCTGGTAAAGTAGGTATGTATTTTTGCTGTTGGGAATGTCTGTCTAAGCTCTTGTGATAGACGGCGAGTAAGAATTTTGGCAGCGATTTCTCCTTTGTAAGGGAGTTGTAAGAAAATCGCTTTTCTGTTGGCTGTTAAAACAACCGGTATGTTCATGCTAATCTCCATGTGAATAACCATTTTTCCGCTGCAACGAGTTTATTCGCTGTAGTTCATCTGGAAGTGTGTCATGCGAGCTGATTCTTTCTGCTCTACTGACCAGATTAGGAACTAAATTCCGTTTCACCCTCAGTGGCACGAAGCTGTGGAAGTTGGTGTATTAGTCGTTCCACGACCTTTTTCAATATACGGTCAGTAGAGCAGAAAGAATCAGCTCGCATGACACACTTCCAGATGAACTACAGCGAATAAACTCGTTGCTGCGGAAAAATGGTTATTCACATGGAGATTAGCATGAACATACCGGTTGTTTTAACAGCCAACAGAAAAGCGATTTTCTTACAACTCCCTTACAAAGGAGAAATCGCTGCCAAAATTCTTACTCGCCGTCTATCACAAGAGCTTAGACAGACATTCCCAACAGCAAAAATACATACCTACTTTACCAGCACACTGATGGTGAAGCTTAGTCTCAAGGATAGTTGAGCTGTCCACGACAAGTCAGTGCATTTATTCATTTACCTGTTCCTGTGGTTCAGGATTCATTGGTCGCACGACTAGATGTCTATTCGAGAGAATGAAAGAACACCGTCCGGCTAGCGACAGGATGGAGAAGGGTATGTAACTCAGCGGTAGCTGTCCACCTTGCCGACAAAGACCACAACCCTGGGCCAGCCGAGACCTTCCAAATTATCTACAAGGCCCCGAACAATCGATGGAAGTAAAGGCGCAGACGGATACTAGAAGCGGCTGAAACTATGGCAATCTGGTTGTACGAAGCAAACTGGTGCACTCAGAAGCGATTTGTTCAGGCCTTACAACTGTCCTGACCCGATCGAGTAGTGATTTTTACTCAGTTGGATCATGTGAAGACTCTGACATTGACCTGATTATTGGCGACAGATGACTCTTGTAAACTGATTTTACCCCGTTTTAATGACTCAGTAGTCTGTCTAATCGATGTAATTGGTATACAACTGTACTAGGCTGATGAAGAATTATCGAAAAGATATGTTCACTATGATTGACTTTTGATAGCCGGACTCAGACACTGCCCAATTATATATATATATTCACCCTCTGGTTACAGTGTTGCCTTCAGAACTATGACGGGGGAAAACATGGAAAAATCAAACATCAATAACACGTCATCTTGATTGTTTTATTGTCTTTTAAGGTTTTTGAATGCGATTAGACGTTAACTAATAATGACGCTGTAGAACAACCCTAGCGCCAGTGATGGATGTTGCAGGCCATAGCTTCCAACGTTTGCAACCATTAGGAGTGTGTCTCGTTGTCTTCTGCGCGGACGTCGGACTGGTCCAACTGATGCAATGGTTCAGGTCGCCTTGTTCCTTTTCCACATCATTGGCTGTCCACCGCGGCACTTGTTCCAATCGCTCACGGGAACCAAATATTGCTCAATGGGGAAGGCGATAGTTGACATGTGCATTACCGTGTCTGAGAATGACGTTTTGTAGGCAATGGCTGTTCACTCTAAACAATTCAGACACAATCGTTTCACATTCTTCGAGACAATAGGTCAGCTCTCGCAGCCTTACAAAAGAACCGCACAGACATCGTATACCCTGCTCTTTACCTTGGAACTGACGTCGTGACGGCGCTATAGTCGTATGTTTGATGAATACAAGGCGAACCGCTGCGAGACCTCATCTCCAACATCGCCACCAGCCGTGATGCAATCATCTAAATAAGTGGGTCACGGAACTTGTTCCAGGATATTAGCATCAATAATGTGGGCAAACAAGTACCTGCCAATCCTGGAGTAGTATACAGTTTAGCTGGAGTGAGATACAAGCCATTAAGCACAGCCTTAACATATACCGTGGATGCGTTTCGCAGGGTTGCAAATACCGTCCATAATCAACGCAAACCAATTCTCAAATCGCAGTGACGTATTACTGAAGCGGTAAGGTTACACCGACACTTTTTGAATGACCGAAATTCGTTCTAAACCTACCTCTTTGGACGACCAGGTGCCCAGCAGCAGCCCATCGGTTACTCACGCTGACTTTTAGGTAAGGGCCGTTGGTATTATGTATGCATTATAATATTTGACGACATCTGTAGACACTACAGCATTACTTTTCTTATCTTCCTCGCCCTTCTAGTGATCAAAAATGTCCAAATAGAACGGCGGCGGTCTATCTGTTCGGACAAGTTAGGTACAAAGGAGGTCAACAGTCGGCATGGTTAGCTGCGGTTAGTTCATGTAGGAGGTGGGTGAACTGTTGGAGTTCGAAATCCGGTGAAATAAGTTAGTAGGGCAGAGCGTAGCTTCCAACATCCAGAGAGACGACGACTGACATTGGCCGCTTTTTGAAGGATCATTTTTCTACATTATCGCTATCCCCTTCAATAGTGTTCCACATGTTTCACAGCATTAGTTGCCGACATCAAAAGCGTTCTCTCGATATTTCCAGCTGTTAGGTGTCTGGTGTTGATTTTGGTAACCCAATTTCTGCAGCTGATCACTCGGCCGACCGAATTCTATCGGAATCTGACTGCAGCTACCCAGATTACGCACAATGGTTCATCTGCGCCTTACGTGAATTTTTTTATATTTGCAGCTGTCTTTCAGCGGAATGTGGAAGAGAAGTTACCTAGGAGCTGCTTACTACATCCTCCGATTTTCTTTATATTTGCGAATTTTGTGTGAGATAGGCCTGGCACAGGCCGACGAAGTAAACACCATTGATTTCAAAAATGATTTTTAATTTTTAGACTCTTCTACTTCCTTCGAAAGATATTGATACTGATATTTTCCTAGATTCTTATTCCGCCTACAACCTTTACACCATCAACGAAAAGAAAGTCAACTCAACCGTCCTCATTTACGTCACACCGGTACGACAATTTCACTGCTATACTGAAGAAGCATGGTTACACAGTGGAACAAACGTGGATTTGAGATTACCAAAACATTCGTAGCAAAATTCGACATTATTTCGCCCGCATGGTTTCAAGTACTCGAACGGAAGAAAGCTTACACTGTAACTGGGATCCCGAATATAGATACAGGTTTCCCCGTAGCATTAGTTACGAGCATTTTTTTTAGAGTGGATGACAAAGTTGAAGATATCCAACTCAGAAGCGAAAATTGTTCCCAGGTTTATTTTCGAGGCTTGGAAGGCTGAGCATTTCGTGGAAACCATGAGCGAGCCAAAGAATGCGGACGCATGCATTACAAATATTGTCAGGGTTTTAAATGTGAGCACATGCACAGTTTTATGCCTCTATTTTATTTCATCGTTCACTTACGTGCTAGAGTTACGAGGAATTGTTCGATTTATACTTCAGAATGTACTTGGAACGGGTTTACATCAAGACTACAAAGATATTTTGCCACTAAAATGCCACACGTGTTGAACGAACAGCTATCAGTTGCTTCAGCACTGTTCATATAATGGGCATATTATCTGTCTCCTGTATTCTAAGCGTAATAGGACCTCTAGGTCGGCTTCGCAATTATAGAGCTTAACTGGTTATCACTTCGTCCATCATGCTTCAACTCAAACTACGCTGCTGGTTCGTATGAATGAACTTTCCCGGCTAAATGAGATTTATTCTGTTGGCTGCGGCAATATTAATGATATCATCCGTGGTCCACTCGTTACGTGGTGCTTTTAATACTATGCACTGAATACGTTATTATAGGGGCGAATAGAAACTTTAATCTGTATAATCATCGGAATATGATCCAAAACGTTATAAAAAAAACTATCTATGACCTGTCAATACTCTTATCATTTTTCAAGTTTTCACGTGATATCATGAAAAATAACATTGAGCTCACAGTAAATTGGGACTCACAAATGTGAGATATCATTGTCATTCTTGGAATCCAAAATTGTAGAAATTCGAATCCAATAATGTGATTGCTTCCACTATGGGTCCTGGCAAACTGTGCCAAACACTGACCACTGATCGTCTAAAGCACAGGTGATAGGTAAACTCGCTTCAGATCAAGAACCACATGCTTGTATTGGTGTTCGCAAGTGGAACAGTGGCCTAAGTCTGTAATATGTGTATATCGTTATGAAGCCTACTTGCAACTAATTATAGACCGGGGTGTATAGTTCTAGCCTCTCATACCTCATTATACGGTAATCCCCGCAAACTACGAAATGAGCGTGGTGCCAACGTGTTGAATCCGCCTAATTTTCTGCTTCTCACCTCATGTAGTCGGGCAGTAGGTGAGCGAGCCACACTAGCATCAGTCTGAGAATGGAGGAGAAAAGACGTGTGGCAACATCTTCAGACCACATGCAGAAGCTGTGTTCTAGCGCCCAGGGCATGCGCTGTCCGTTTTGGTGTGGTCTGTTCGTGTTGTCTACGCACTTCAACTCGCAACGTGAGAGTACACCTAGGTTCTCTACGCAATGTATGAGATGTCATAGTTGGCCGTCAGAGAGTGTTGGTTCCGCCGTCTCCACTCTTCGCCAGATTCCAAAATGCCGACTTCGGTAGGTTGACCTGGAGGCAGATTTCTGCAGACCACATGGAAAGGTGATTGTGGTCTTGTTGAAGTAAGCCGCAGTCGTCGGGTGTGCTTATCGCTCTCTGCATGTTCAGGTCGTCTGCAATCAGGGCACATGGCGATCTGAGAAACCGAGGTAGCTCGTTGATATCAGTCAGGAGCAATGTAGATTGCAGCACTGTGCCTTGAGGTGTGCCACTGGTCGTAAGATACCAGTCGCTTAGTGGCTATTGACACATATCCTCCACTTTCGTCCAACGAAGAACTCCTGGTGCAACTGGTGCAGTTAGCCGCCAACACCGCATACTCTCAGCTTGTTGAGGAGGATCTCATGGCTCAACTTGTCGAACGCTTTGTTGAAATCGATATAGCACACGTCGGCAGACTTCCCTTGGTTCACTACTTGCAACTATTCATGCATCTTCATGAGCAGGTTTGTGATGCATAAACGGCTTGGCATGAAATCGTGTTGTGTGAGCGCCACCTTTTGACCGAAAACGTTGTAACAAATTCTTCACAATGAACTCGACAGCGTTGACCGAAATACATGTCAACCAAATTGGCATGTAGTTGTCTACTTTTCCGGGGTCACTGCCTTTCGAAATCGGTGTTACTACGGAAAATTTCCAATCAGTCGACAACGAACTTTCGGACAGTGACCTGTTGAACAGTCAGTCACAGCAGACGCGTTGATGGCCAATAAGGACCGTAGAACCAGGGGTGGAGCCCATCAGATCAAGCAAACTTGGTGCCGTCAAGGTTAGTGAGTAACAGATGCACCTCTTTCACACCGCAATCCAGGCCGTCGAGTTCGGCAAGTGTGGTGCACGCCGTACTCGATAGACACCTGGCAATTGGCACACAAGAAAACGAAGTGCGCCGCCAATGGGAACGCACACAGCGCTGGAGGTTAGGAGCTATCCGTCCGCATCCTCTATCACTGGTTGGTCACCTGTCGGCTTCAGGCGCCGCTTCACATACTCACGGATTTTCTTTGTTGTGGTCTTTGCTGCGTTGCTATGATGTGATACTTTGTTCATGCTGGGGACCCTGAGTTTGTAACGATGTCCTCGGGTGTTACAGGGTTCTCGCAGGTGAAATATTGGCCGCAGTATGGGGAAGTGATTCAAGTGTAGTACTCGATGGGTCATAATAAGATCAATTCTTACTCGGCGATAGGATAGTGTGTAGAGTCCGAGCTTTTCACAACGTTTTTCATATGGAAGCTTTCGTAGACTTGGTATCATTCTAGTTGCGATATGCTGTATTTTCTCCAGTTTTTCAGTTTCCCATTGGGTTATCGGATGGTAAGCTGGGGCACCGTATTCAAGGATTGGTCTAATGAGCGAGGTGAATAGACGAGGGACGGTTTCTTCGGACCATGTGGAGAAACTGCGTCGTAATGCCCAGAGCATACGAAGTCCCGCACGGTACAATTTCTCTGTATTTTCTAGTGATCTTAAATCATGTCGTGAGAGAACTCCTAAGTCTCTGACAGATGTGTTGGGATGGAGCAACTGGCCGTCCAAGGTGTATGATCGAGTGGCTGGACGTCTGGTGATACTGATGAACTCCGACTTGCTTGCGTTAAGAGGGAGTTGCATTTCAGTGGACCACGTTGACAGTCGCTCTAAGTCATGCTGGAGGCGAGCGCAGTCGTCCTGGTTTTCAATGATCCTCCAGATTTTCAAATCATCTGCAAACAGGACACATGGTGACTGGAGCTGCTGCGGAAGATCGTTGATATGAATAAGAAATAATGCTGGCCCAAGTACAGTTCCTTGAGGCACGCCACTGGTCGATGGGAACCATTCTGTCAGATAGTCATTGACCTGTACTCTAAACCTTCGTCCCACAATAAACTCTTGTATCCACTGAAGTAACGTGCCACCGATTCCGTATGTCCTCAGTTTACGAAGGAGTACCTCGTGGTTCACTCTGTCAAACGCCTTACTAAAGTCGATGTACACCACGTCAACATCCTTCTGTTCATTGAGAGCTCGAACCCACTGGTGGTTTGCGTACATCAAGTTGGTGATGCAGGATCGCCCTTTCGTAAAGCCGTGTTGCGCTGGCGTCAATACGTCCATCGATTCGAAGAACGACAGCAGACACTTTTTCACAACCTTCTCGAGAACTTTGGATAATACCGAAGTCAAACAGATCGGTCTATAGTTCTCTATTTTACTCGGATCACCACCCTTGGGAAGCGGTTTAACTATCGAGCATTTCCAGTCGTTCGGGACGGATCCTTCAGAGAGCGATCTATTGAAAAGGTTTGTCACAACTGGTGAGATGATAATCGATAGGGACTTGAGTATTAGTGGGTGAAGTCCGTCTGGCCCGGGGGGCTTTGCACCATTGAGGTTGACGAGTAGCTGATGTACTTCGACTGCATCACATTGTAGGCTGTCGAGCAAGACTTGCGCAACCTGTGCCGGTACTGGAACAGCCGCCGGTTTACTGGAAAATACAGTGAGGAAGTGCGTAGCCAGGGCGTCCGCGCGCTCCGCGCTTGAAATGAGTGTCTTCCCGTCTAAGCTCTCTAAGACCGGTAGGTCGTCTCCAGGTTTCAGTTGACGTTTCAAGTAGGCAAATATTCGCTTGGGTGCAGTTGTGGCCGAGGATGCTAGCTCCTCTTCGAACTGCCGGCGTTTCTTGATCTTTGCGGCGTTACATAAGTTACGCTGTTTCCTGTACACCGCGTAATCTTCATCACAACCCGAGCTGATGTATCTATCCCAAAGTTTACGACGTCGTCGCGCTAACTGTCTGTATTCCCTATCAAACCAATGCGGTTTGACAGGTCCGATTTTTGGATACTTAAGGGGAACGAACCGAGTACAGAGCGAGTTAAGCTTCCCCTTTATTAATGACCACCACGCCTCAAGTGACGCATCATGTGGTAGTGTCCAATCAGTCTGACTTGCGGCTTGGACGAGTCCGTTGAAGTCCGTCTTCCAATAGTTGAATGTCGGCTTCTGTTGATTGTAATATGGTAACGACAGTTCTAAGCTTGCTACAATAGAGCAGTGGTCACTGTTCGCCAGAGGTTCGATGACTCTGATCTCTTTTAGCTTCTGCTCGCAGCTCGTAAACATTAGGTCCAGACAAGATGCCGAGTACGGAGTTACGCGCGTCGGTTGGATGACATGTTGCGTTGCCCCAATTTCAATAGTCATTTTAGCGAATTGAGCCTCAACGTTGCCATGACCGGGAAGAAGTCGAACATCTGGCCAAATTATCTTAGGTAAATTTAGATCCCCCATCAGTAAGAACTGAGGGCGGCTCATGTGCTTCTGTACATGTGGTATCCAATCGCAGCAACGGTTTAATGGGCTCCGGTAGATAACCCCCACAATTAGTTCTGCGCGCCTGAGACGGATTGTGCACCACAATTGCTCGCATAAACTATCCTCGCTCCGATAGGTACTGATAAGTTTGCCAGATAGTGACGATTTTATGTACAACAGAACACCACCGTGAGCCTTTGATTTTCGGTCACATCGGAAACAAGAGTATCCTGACAACACGACTTCTTGGGGTATGATGTCGGAGTTCAGCCATGTCTCTGCAAGTCCTAAAATGTCCGGCCGCTCCGAGACAGCGAAGCGGCACAGTTCGTCACGTTTGTTCATTAGGCTGCACACGTTGGCG